AGCTACAAATCGGTATATGATACTATATGCTGATCTTTAATCGAACTCGAACCAGACTCGAACTCGTATAATGGTTCAGTTCGAGTTCAGTTCGAACTTCGAACCTTTCTTGAACTCAAGCCAAAGTCTGGTTCGAGTTCGGTTCGAATTTTGAACCGAACTCGAACCTGGGCAAAAGTCTGGTTTGGTTCAATTCATAGAAACACTAGCCACAACTCTCTCATATTATTATTCTCTTTTAAGTACACACAATTTACGTAGAAATTAATATAAGTCTTAGATACCTTTTATTTTTCTTAATATTTTCCTTATCAGTTTATACTCTCTCCCAACTCAGGTTCTTGTTTGTAAGCTAATTTAATGATTTGTGAACAAACTTGTAATAGTATTATATCAATAACACAATCTTCTTTTAGAAACACATTGTTTTCTTTATTTGTATCAATAAATTCAAATTACATTACAAATTACATCACAAATTACATTGCAAATTATATTGCAAATTACATTACAAATTACACTGCAAATTACATTGCAAATTACATTACAAATTACACTGTAAATTACATCTCAAATTATATTATAAATTCCACTATAATATTCACTGTAAATTCCACTATAAATTCCATTGTAAATTATGCTGCAAATTCTACTGTAATTTACACTGTAAATTATATTATAAATTACATCATAAATAGAAAGTCAAAAATGTATATAATGAGAGTGAGAAAGAGCAATTAGAGAATAGGTAGAAGAATTGGCAATAAAGCAATAAAAAATATAATTACTTACTTGAGTACAATTAGTTCTTATGGTACCTTTTCATCCATCTCAATAATTAAATCCATTGTTATAAAAAGGGGTTTGCCACTTTGATCCAGAAAAAGTGAGGTAAAAATGATTTGAAGGATTTGTCACTTTTGATCCAGAAAAGTGAGATAATTGTTTTGATGACTATGATTCAAGGGTTTATGCTTTTGGTCCAGAAAAAGTGAACACATTGTTAACATTTGTGAAACACGTGAATGAAACTAAACCAATAATTGAATACACAATATCCGAAGATATTGGTATAGAACCTTGGAAAACTAATAAATAAAATAACTTTAGTTTAATTCGTTTCTCCCACCCAAGTTACAGATTAGCAGCTAATTCCTATAATCGGTCACTAACCTTTAACAATACACCATAATTTGTGTTATCATAAAAATTATAGAATTGCGAAATTTTTGTTAAAATGATAACAATATCTCAACACCCTGTGATCGAAATCAAATGAAAATATCACCATTCGATTCACCTAGACATGAATAATCGAATGGTGCTATTTCATGTGATTTTGATAACAAAGTATCGAGATATTGCCTTCTAAATTGGTGAAATTCTGATATATGATTACTTTCAGTGCGATATCTTGATAACTAGCAATCTGAATCACACGAAAATATTACCATTCAATTCACCTAGGCATGACGAATCAAATGATTGTATTTTCATGCGATTCAGAACGCTAGTTATCGAGATGTCATTACTTGTTATAATACCCCTTTTCTCTTAAAATCAGGATATTACCATTAAATAGAGCAGCATGTTTTGCTGATTTTAATCATATAAATTTTATTTATATGTAAATTTATTTAAAAATATCAAAGTTAGTGAATACAAAAGTGATTAATTTTATTAAAATGGGAATGCCTGCGACCAATTTTAATAAAAAGGTGTTTTCTGAAAGTTTATAATTGGGATATTCTAATAAACAAAGGGCTGCAAATTTGAACAATTCATTGCGAGAAACGACTGAAAGTTAAAAGGTGGCATCAATAATTTTATCGAAATAATCCTCGTATGCATTTCGCACTATTGTTGAATAATCATAATTATGCGCGACTTTTTGTTGATGTTCCCAAAGTGTACGATCCCAATAATGCAATTCATTAGATTTGCTTTCAAATCCAAAGCCATCTTTGACGATATCTACCTCATGGAATTTTAGGCTTTTTGTCTTCTTTTTCAAGTTACTCAGAGCATTTTTGAAACTCCCCGCTCTAGCTAATTGGGTCATCTCATCTTTAATCTTGCCGTCATAATACGGCATCGTTATCGTCTGCGTAATTTTGACCATTCCGAGTCTTTCCTTGACGGTATTCAATTTATAAGCACGAAGCACTTCCCTTAGTCGTTCTTTTTCCTGTTCAGCTATTTCTGTGTACGCAGGGAGAAGTTCAACCCCATAAGTACAAATCGAAACATATAAATGGGAGAGCGCAATTAATGATGGTGTACTGATAAGCGGATGTTGATAGAAGACATGATCTTTGTTTTCGAAATCACTTAGAAGTTTCTCACAAGAATGGAATGCGGACGGTACTTCAAGTTTTCGATCATCAAAAGGAGTGTCGTTATTCTTCATTAATTCAATGCGAGTTTTAATGGCTGATATTTCGGATTTCATTGAGTTGACCGCGGATTTTAGAACGGCGCGGTCAATTTTTCGTTCCATAAATTGATCACAAATTGCTTCATTTTCATCAGCATATTGTACTAGTTTTTCAATTACCGTAAAGACAATCCCATATTCTGGAAGGGCGAATGATGCAGCCTTGTTAAGTTTGCCAACTATCGCAAGCTGATCTGCTCGAAGTTGTTTTTGTTCAAGTATGTAATCCATCATTTCTTTCATTACAAGGTCTTTAATTGAAAGAAATTTTGGAGTTGGGGAGTAACCTTTAGATTGTGCGGTATTCATAATTTGGAATTGGAGTCACCTCGAGATTGAGTGGTATTTTTTATTATAGATTAATGTAGATGTCTAGTGTTTTGCGTGTCAAGATTGAGTGGTATTATAGATTAATGTAGATGTCTAGTGTTTTGCGTGTCAAAAGAGGTATGTTTGTTTTATAGGAATCAATTCATCGAAATTTTAATTTAAAATGGTTAAAATATAAACCAATCAAAGTACATGTAAATGATAAAATTCCATTTTACTAAATGAAGATTCCGCATTTACAATAATACAGTTTAAATTTTCTCATTTTATCGTTACTAATTAATTAATTAATTAATTGATTGATTAATTAATTGATTAATTGATCAATAACAAAGAAACTTAACAATTCAAATTGATCGTCAATTGCCTTTGTCTTTATTACGTATGATTTTTTCACGAATAAAAGAAAACAGAGAATGAAAAATTAAGTAAAAGGTTTAAACCTTAATTTTTTTGAAACCAATTATTTTTCTGCAAAATGAATTAACCAAGATTCACGTACAGTGCAATTTCTTTGAAATTTCTATTAATAAACTAATACGTACGTACATGCACGATCACCGTGCATATGCATTATTCATTATCGTAATGTTTTGGTACTTTGTTTTATTTTTTTTATGATTTTTACATTGTTTCGATCTTTTATTTGTATATTAAAAACACTATTCACCTTTCTTTCTATTCATAATGTTCTTACCACGAAAGAATTATCCTTAGAACTTCGTGAACAAATAACTGGTGCTATCATATGAAGAGCAATGCTTCAGTTATTGCCTCTAACCTCGCTATCATTACGTGATACAATTAATTGGTTTAAGAAAACAGGTCTGTAAAGCGCACTGGATGCATATATTAATACTTTAATTCACTCTAATACCACTCGTAATTACATCATTTTGAATATTATTATGCAATTCATAAACCTTTTTAACTTCGACATAAAAAAATCAGTTATAATGGTGCAAAGAAAAGAAAAACTGGAATAATGAATTGCACCAAATCGTATGATTTTCCCTTTTCTATTCAAACGGACGTACAAGAGTATGGCAAAAATCTAGAAAATTGTGTGGTTCCAACCCAAACCTGATAGTATAACACAATGGTCAAAAGTCAAAAGTAGAAATTATTCATTTTAAAAAGTCGAAAAGCTCAAAGTTTAGACAAAGTGTCAAACTAAAAATCCCCAACTAAAACTTTTTACATATCATAATATGTAGAAATTAAACTAAAACTATGTAAAAATTCAATTAGATGAAAGTAAATTATTAACAAGATTATCTGGATCAAATTCATATTTCTAAATAAAGTAGTAACAGAATTAATACTTTCTTCATTTGTGCTGAACTTTTTCCAAAAAAATTTGTAAAATCTACTAAATTAATGATTAAAAAAAGTTATTACTTTCAACTAAATTATCAATAATAGTTACAGATAAAATTATCAATTATGCCTAATTATTGATTTATTCATAACAATACATAATAAATTTTTTTTTGATTGCAAAACTATCTACAGGATTTATGTGTAAAATTACAGTCTTCTCCTATTTAGATTTATATATCTCTAAAAAGAAATAACTCTCTTTGTGCTCTTTGATTGGAGAATGAAATTTAGAAATAGCAAACTATATAATATAAATAAATAAGGAGTTAAATCAGAGAAAATTTAATCAAACAAGTATATAGTTACTGGAAAATACAGATAATATTTAACCAAACTGAGTACACAAAAGAAAATCTAACAGAATCACAAAAAATATAAATAATTGATTAGCAATAATTGTTTATATTATAATATAAATAATATTTATTAAGAGTATTATCTTAAATAATATATATTTATATTTTAATTGAATAATATTATAAGAAATATATAAATTTAATTGAAACTCAAAAATTTAAAATAATATGAAAACTTTAATATACAAGAGTCATTAGATAATGAATATTTTTTATCATACTACTTTATTTTAAAATTAGTTAATATAATTCATTAACTAACTAATAAAAAGCTGATATAATTTAAATATTGTTACAAGTTTGTTCACTAATCGTTAAATTAGCTTACAAACAAGAACCTGGGTTGGGAGAGGGTATAAACTG